AGAGAGAGAGAGAGAGAGAGAGAGAGACAGAGACAGAGAGACAGAGACAGAGACAGAGACAGAGACAGAGACAGAGACAGGAGATAGGGGTGGAGAATGTGATGCATTGATCTGTTGAAATAATTCAATGCACAAATATGTACTTATATTTTGGGTCAAGGGCTTCTGATAGGATACATTCCAGTTTTTTCAAGGTTGGATCAATAAAACGTATGTTCGGTAAATAGATAGAAAATGCAAGATTAAAGGAGAAATATGAGTGCGTGCGTGCGTGCGTGCGTGTGTGTGTGTGTGTAAGTGTGTGTGTGTGTGTAGATTGGGGTGGGGAAACGGAAGGGACAAAACCGGTTGAGAAGGGAGCAGTTAATACGATTCATTTTTATTACATTTCAAAAACATATTTTCCGAGCTTTTAAAGTGTATGATCGACTGTTTAAGTCCAATCTACGCTGTGAAAATGATGTATCCCGAGTCAAAGGGGCTGTTACAATCCTCATTAATTATGCACATCATTTTACTTTCAGGTTTAATGGCATCTCCTGGAGGAGCCACAGGCATTTCTTACTTCAAAACGGACAAGAACAATGCTCAACCGGATGTACAAATAGGGACCTACGAGGGCATCACGGGGGAAAGGTTTCTCAGGCTTATGCCAGGCATCAGCTCAGAGGTAGGACGATAATGTGGAACATTCAATCGTCAAATCATTGATCACGAAAACCTATGGATGTTGAGATAGAAGTGAATTTCTGGGAGCGACCGTGTTTATGTTATCTATATTTGAAGGGAAATGTGGGCCTTTGGTTAGGTTTTAATGTAATGTGTTCTTTTTTTTGTGCTATTTTTTCTTAAAGGGGAAAAATGGGGAGGGGGGTGGGGGTTGATTCGTTGTTGTTGTTTTTTAGGGGGGTTGAGAATTTCTTATATGGTTTACGGACGCATGTCAATGGTTCTTTTAAATGTCCTTCATTTCGGAATCCACTGAGGTTTGTCTGTCTAGATATTTCTTAGTTGTTAGCTGTTCATGTTAAAACTGTGGGTTATTTTTCTCTTTTCACTAGTTTTTTTTTCTTGGAGAAGTGCGTGTGTGTGTGTGTGTGTTTGTGTGTGTGTTGGGGGATGAGAGGGGGGGGGGTGTTTACCAACCCATATAAATGGCATTTTCAAGGATTTTTTCCCATTTCTGAATGATTGAATGACAGGCTCATAGGTTTTCTTAAAGGTTAGCAAAAGCAACAGTGAAGAAAGATGAAGCTTAACGATATAATCCATACGAGTGGAATAGGAATTTGATATCTATCAATTTTATCGACATTGAAAACTTTATGTGTTTTCTAGGATGGGCCATGGCTTGCTTCCTTCATTGACTCCAGTAGATAGAAAATGTTCCTACACGAACTAGGAAAGTAAACTTTGCTGTGTTCGAACCTCAGCCTCGCACCTTTGCCGTAGAGTTTAGCTGGCTGTGAAGAAAGTAGGAGAAGATAATGACTTGGATATTAATATTATGTTATTTTCTAAGCCTCCACTGGAAGAAATTAGCAGTGTGTTATCACCAGCTTATGCAATAAAACATATAAATTTATGATTTCCCCCACACCCGAAGCTTGGTATACCTAACCAAACACTACTCAACATTTTGCCAAGGAGCGATATTCTCCGCTAAAGGGGTGCTACTGAAGCGTACTTAATGTAACAATGCCACTCATAAATCACTACATTGCTGGTCTAATATTTGCATGTTCTTTTTGTAAATTGTGTAACTGCTGTCCATCTTTCTGTTACGATTCGTTGTCTTACAAAAATAGAATACTAGACCTAGTCTATAAACTCGAAATAGACGTTCTTGTGTCAATGTTCTTCTCTTGACTCAGATTAAACTTTTAAAAGTTTTCCTGTAATAAGAATTTTACCTCATTTGCAATACAAATAAGTCATAAGTGCTGGAGATTATGGTTTTTGCTAGAGAGTAACGTAAAAAAAAGAATAGAAGGAGGAGGATGTTTGATAAGAAAGAAGCAGCAAACTACACCAGAGCATCCGCTAACTACCCAAATAAATTAAACTAAAACAACCTATAGAAATAACCTAAGTTTATGACCCCCCC